AATCAACACTTGTACACCTAATCCAAATGAATCTTATACAAAGCAGTACCAAAAGCATACACCTAGTTCATTTTGTTACTATATTAAATGCTTTGATGAAAAAATATATCAAAGTAAACTAGTTACATTCACTGCAAGTAATGAAGATGAAGATGTAGCACAAAAATTTGTTAATATGCTAGAAGTAGATGTAAAAAAGATTTACAACGATTATTTAAAATTTAAAAAAAATATGATATTTACTATGAAAGACAAAAATAATTTTGATAATGCAGAAAAATGCCACATTTGTGAAAAAGATCTTAATAATGATAAAGTACGAGATCATTGTCATATTACTGGAAAATATAGAGGTGCTGCACATAATGAGTGTAATTTACAATTTAAAATTCCAAAATTTATTCCAGTACTATTTCACAATTTATCTGGTTATGACTCTCACTTGTTCATAAAGAAATTGTCAGAAGGAGGAAAATCAGAAGGAGGAAAAATAAATTGTATACCCAACAATGAAGAAAAATATATCAGCTTTTCTAAAGAACTTAAAGTAAATGAATTTATGAATAGAGAAGGTAAAAAAGTTGAAGTTAAACTGTATCTACGTTTTCTAGATAGTTTTAAATTTATGGCTGCTAGTTTAGATAGTTTAACTAAAAATTTGTCAAAAGATCAATGTAAAAATATTAGTAGATACTATTCTGGAAATGAACTCAATTTATTGTTAAGAAAAGGTGTTTATCCTTATGAATGGGTTGACTCTATTGATAAATTAAATGAAACACAACTACCACCAAAAGAATCATTTTATTCAAAATTAAATGATGAAGGAATAAGTGATGAAGATTATTTACATGCTCAAAATGTATGGAAAGAGTTTAATTGTGAAACATTCAGAGATTACCATAATTTATATAACGAATCTGATGTATTATTACTAGCTGATGTCTTTGAAAATTTTAGAGATGTCTGTTTTAACAATTACAAATTAGATCCTGCTTGGTACTATACAGCACCAGGATTAGCTTGGGATGCTGCGTTGAAAATAACAGAAGTAAAATTAGAATTATTAAGTGATTATGATATGATCTTAATGATAAAAGAAGGAATAAGAGGTGGAATTAGTATGGTTTCTAACAGGTTAGGAACTGCTAACAATAAATATATTGAAAATTATGATGAAAGTAAAGAATCTACTTACATACAGTATCTAGATGCAAATAATTTATATGGGTGGGCTATGAGCAAACCCCTTCCAACACATGGATTTGAATGGATGAATGAAGAAGAATTAAAAAATTGGAAATCTACTTCTTGCATATTAGATGTAGATTTAGAATATCCTGAACATTTACATGATGCTCATAATGATTATCCTCTAGCCCCTGAAAGATTAAAAATAGACAAAGTTGATAAATTAATACCTAATTTAAATCAAAAGAAAAATTATATCATTCACTATGAAAACTTAAAACTGTATGAAAGATTAGGAATGAAAATAACAAAAATTCACAGAGGAATAAAGTTTGAAGAAAGTGCATGGTTGAGTAAATACATTGAACTCAATACAAATCTAAGAACAAAAGCAACAAATGACTTTGAAAAAGACTTTTTTAAACTTATGAACAATTCAGTATTTGGAAAGACAATGGAGAACATTGAAAACAGAGTTGATGTAAGATTAGTTTCTAAAAGAGAAGAAGCTATTAAATTATCATCAAAACCAAATTATGAAAGTAGAACGATATTTGATGAAAATTTAATTGCAATACATATGAAAAGAACAAAACTTGTATATAACAAACCAATTTACTTGGGTATGTGTATTTTAGATTTGAGCAAAACACTAATGTACGAATTTCATTATGATTACATAAAAAATAAATATGGAGATAAAGCTAAACTATTATATACAGATACAGATTCATTAATCTATGAAATAAAAACAGAAGATTTTTATAAAGATATTTCTAATGATATTGAAAGTAGATTTGATACAAGTGAATTTAATAAAGATCATCCAGCTGTTCAAAATGGATTTAAAGTTGGTGTAAATAAGAAAGTAATAGGAATGTTTAAAGATGAATCAGCAGGAAAACAAATTACGGAATTTATTGGACTCAGATCAAAGTTGTATTCTTACAAAATAGATGAAGAAGATAAAAAGAGATGTAAAGGAGTAAAGAGAAATGTAGTAAAAAATTATATAACACATGAAGATTATAAAGACTGCCTTATAAATAAGAAAGATCAAATGAGAAAAATGAATGTCATAAGATCTCATTTACATGATGTTTATACTGAAGAAATAAACAAAATAGCATTGAGTGCAGAAGATGATAAAAGAGTAATTCAAGAAGATGGTATACACACATTAGCATATGGACATTATAAATTAAAAGAGAATAAAACATTGGTTCCTTCAGAACCCAAACCCAACTTTTCATTTCAGATTGATTGGAAATAAACAGGCAAGCAGGCAGGCAAACACACAGGTAAGTTATTTTTTATATCTTAAAAAGATATAAAAAAATCTAACGAAGTAATAAAAATGGACAAACATATCAATGTTGAAGGAATTATATTGCCAAATGTACCCTTAACAAACTTTCAATTAATAAAAGCAGCAAAAAAATTAAAAATTAAAAATTTTAGAGGTGTATTTGTAAGAGATGAATTACCTAAAAATACACAAAACAAAGAATGTGGAATATTAAATACTGGTGATTCAAGTACGAATGGATTTCATTGGATTTGTTGGTATAAAGATGGAGAAGAAAAATTAAGTTTTGACTCTTATGCACTACCACCTCCAGTTGAACTTGTTCAATATTTACACAGTCCTGTTTATTATAATAGTAAAAGAATTCAGTTTGGAGACACTTCTTTTTGCGGACACTTGTGCCTTTATGTATTAAAAAAGCTTGATGAAGGTGTTGATTTTCAAAGTATTGAAAACTCATTATACTGAATTAAAAAAATATAGCATATAAAAAAATGAGTATGAATATAGCAGGTAGTAATTCATTATATGGTTACACAACAGATGGATTAAATATCAACATTAATAATGGCAATTCAACCACTACTGATGTTGATTTAAATTCACATAAATTAATCAATGTAGCTGATCCTACAGATGCACAAGATGCAGCTACGAAAAATTATGTTGATAATAATCAAACTTCTAGCAGTGCATGTCTAAAATTAGATGGAACTAATAGTATGAGTGCTAATATAAATTTGAATTCACATAAATTGATCAATGTAGTTGATCCTACTAATGCACAAGATGCAGCTACAAAAAAATATATTGATTCAACATATGAATTTATTACAAATTATATAGAAAGAATAATTCCTTATCCTCGTAAATATAAAGTTTTGATTGTAGCTGGACAATCAAATACTTATTATGGTAGAGAATGGGGTAATTCTAATGCAATAACTACTGTAAATTATATGCATAGACGAATAGTACAATTTGCAATGGATAATGGACAAAATGATGTGTTACTTCCTTGTTCTCTTAGACTTGAAGTAAATGAATCAGATAATATGTGTTATGCTGGATATGGTTCAATACTAGCCGGTTTAATAATGCAAGATGCTGATACTTCAAACACATTAAATATAATACATTCAGATGAAAGTTTAATGATACTTCCATGTATGTTAGGTGCAAGAGGTTTTAGTGATGATTATTTTATGCCATATGGTACTGGATTTAGAAATTTAACTCGTAGAATTAGATATATTTTATCACATTATAACGCAGAATTTTGTGGTATGACTTGGGCTCAAGGAGAAAATGATTCTATAGATGGCTGGAATAATAATTATAGACATATTCTAGTAAACTTTATTCAAACCATAAGAGATTATATAGGGTATTCATCTAATCAGTTTTACACGTTAACAAATTCCCAAGCAAAATCAAATACAATTCCATTCCTTACTTTTCAAATGAGGCCTGGATGGGTTTCAGCTAATTCAGCAAGAGCAACACCAGTTCAAAATGCGCTTTCAACTATTGGAGAATATATTCCATACGCTGCAAGCATATCTATTACTAATCTTCCACCTTCTATGAGAATTACAAACGATGACACCGTACATTACGACTCACGTCAACAAATATTTTTAGCTCAACAATTTTATAATGCATTAATTACAGCTAAAAATAATTTATATGCTAATAGTGTTTATTATCCACTTTACATATCAGGAGAAACGCTAATTGTTAGGCAAGTACCAACAGATTTATTTCCAACTAATTATTATGGATCACTTAATTATGATAGCGCTAATCCAACTACAGCTACAAAATATAGTCAGTTATCTAATAACTATTTTTATAAAAACAAAGATGGATATTATAAATATCGCTTAAAATATAAAATTAATGGTGAATGGAAAAGTATTATATTTAAGCAAGCATTCCTTCCAATGATGTCTATGCATTATCAAAATATTGCACAACTCATATCAACTGAAACACCATTCGGTAATACAAACACAGGACAAGGATTTTGCGGATTAAATTTGACAACTACAAAAAGCATGATGAATTTAGGAGCGGTACTTACACTAGATACAGGTGGTGGATATTGGGCACCTGTGTGTACAAATAGCAGTTTTACAGATGGATCTGCTAATGTTTTTCCTGTATATACTAATTACATTGAAAATAGTTCAACTACTTTAGTAACTGCAACTGAACTAGAATTATATGCTATAAGAGACTCTATATAATATTGTTAAAACAATTCTACTACGCATAAGCGCTACTACGCGTAAGTAAATCCTAGCGCATGCGCATTAAAAAATAAAAAAAAATTGAAAATGATTTAAATAATTTTCTTGTATATATAAAAAAGAATGAATCAAGAAAATAAACGTACAAAATTGATTATGCTGCTCAAAATGGTCGCCTTGAAGTAATAAAATATTTACATTCTAAAGGATATAAAGGAACAGAATGGGCAATTAATTATGCTGCAATGAATGGTCATCTTGAAGTAGTAAAATATTTACATGAATTAGGGTATAAAGGTGATAAATGGGCAATTAATTGCGCTGCAATGAATGGTCATCTTGAAGTAGTAAAATATTTACATGAATTAGGGTATAAAGGAACAGATCAAGCAATTATTAATGCTGCAAAAAAAGGAAACCTTGAAGTAATTAAATATTTACATGAATTAGGGTATAAAGGTGATAAATGTGCATTTAATTGCGCTGCAATGAATGGTCATCTTGAAGTAGTAAAATATTTACATGAATTAGGGTATAAAGGTGATGAATTTACAATTAATAATGCTGCAGAATATGGTCATCTTGAAGTAATTAAATATTTACGTTCTATTGGATATAAATATTTACATGAAATTTGGGTATAAATAAGAAGCAAGAAAAGTCACGTGACGTCATGCAAGAATTTTTCGTCATATTTCATAACAAGAAATAAAAATTAACACTTATTTTAAAAAATCAATTTTTTAAAATAAAAAATTATTTCTTGTTGAAATAATTTATACACAATATGGTTCAATGTTAACCCAATATTAATATTAATTTATGGTTGAAAATTTGGTTGAAAATGAAAAATCCCTCTGAATTGGCAATCTCTTACTACTTATGTAATTATTGGGTGTTTAAAAGAATAAATATAATGCGGTAACGCCAGTGCCTACGCTAAGCTAAACTAAACGCTCGCAAAAATTGAAATGGAATTAGATTTTGCTACCAACAGTAAATTTTAGGTTTTTTGTTGGATAAACTATCAAAGAGACAAAAAAAAAAAAAAATTGACAAAAAAATTTGACAAAAAAAAAAAAAAAAAATTAAATATTAAAAAAAGAATAGTCGTGATCGAAAGTTTTTTTTAAATTCTTAAGATCTGTTATTTTTTGGTTATTCTTTCGTTGATAATCCTTCAGTTAAGCGGCCAAAAATTTTTTTTGTTTCTAAAAATATGGTTGAGAGTCTAGAAGCGCACATCAATATAATATAAACGGAAAAATAATATTTTTTAAAATAATAATAATTATAATAATAATCAAATATTTTAATATGCTTATAAACAGGGCCGGTGTGAGTAGGTGTCACGCGTGGGGTGCCATTACAATGTTGCCGACTAAAAAAAAAAAAGGTCTTCGTTTTTCTGAAATTTGCCGACTGCCCTCCGACTGCCATAACGACATTTGCCGACTGACTGTCTAAATTTACCGACTAACCTGTTGAAAGGGTTTACATTTGCCGACTAACTAGCCAAAAAGAGTGACTAAATAAACGAAAAAATCATTGGTGGTGGTGGGGGGGGGGTGGGGGTAGGGGTGTCACACACCCACACACACCTGATCGCGCCGGCCTTTCTTATAAAGTCTCCACAAATGAGAGTGCAAAAAATATGAGTGTAAACTTTATTCAAGCCGCGCAACTGCAGAATTACCCTTTGGTTAATTCCTTTCAGATATTACGATTGATAAATAACATATACAATCGATATAAATTCCGTCAATTACAAAAATTTTTGAATTACAGATAAAAGTTGTTAGCTGCAAATTGTTAGCTAATTAAATTGCAAAAAAAAGTTGTTAGCTAATTAAATTGCAAAAGGTTATTAGCTAATAAGAAAAAGCAATTAAAAAGAATTGTGCGCGTACAAATTTAAAAATTATTTTAGAGCAAGTGTAACATCTGGCAGGCTTAAAAACTATTTAAATCAAAAAGTCATAATTTTGAAGTCATAAATTCAAAACAAAACATTTTGTCATCATTATGCATGCTTTTAATTGCATCAAAGGTTGTGTAAGCAGATATACATGTTTAAATTAACGTAAATAGTTATTTAACAATTTTGTAGAAAAAGGGTTGCCCCCAAGTTACGTCACGCAATTGTTGACCAATTTTGACCGCTCCCCTCTCGCCACTAAATCGTACTGTTTATTAACAACTCGTCACAAAACTACTAATCCCTTCCCCTCCAGAGTGTGACGTTAATGAACGACCCCAAATATAATATTTTAGATTTTAAATAAATTACTATAAAATAAAATTTTCTTGATAGAAAAAAAAAAAAAATTACCTATTAAAAACATATATTAATTTATATTGTCTCATCATACAACTAGTTCTTTTCAGCGACCTTAAATAAGCTAAATGAACTTATTAAAGTTTCTTAAAAGTTGTTTATTATTTATTAGTATGTTTTAACCTTACAATAAATTACTTAAAATAAAATATTTTTTAGTTTTTAATTTTTTCAAGACCTATTTAGAAAGTGTTATCCATTTCGCATGATCACAGCCAACAGTTTATGAATGCGTATAAACACAATGGAAATATTTTTTTTCGTTTAGATTGGTCCGATAAGAGGCTTTAGAGTTATTTTCTAACTGAATTAATAAAAATAACTCAAAAATAGCAAATACAGGGAATCGGAATTGAATAATTCTAGAATTCATTAATTAATATTATTATTAATCTTATTAAGTTAGATTACTTGGACTGCAAATATTTTTTTTACTATTTTATTAAATGAATCTAATTGAACTTTGTATTTGTAACCTTCGTTTTTTATTTTCTTGACACTGATTACAAATGTTCTAACGATTTTATTTTGTTCAATTTCGTTTCATATATATATATTTCACACACACACATATATAAATAAATATATATATATACATATATATATATATATATATATATATATATATATATATATATTTATTATATATATATATATGTATTATATATATATATATATATTTATATATATATATATATATATATATATATATATATATATATATATATATATATATATATATATATATATATATATATATATATATATATATATATATAATACATATAATTTACATATATATAAATATTACATATATAATACATATAATTTACATATATATAAAACCTAAAAGTTTATATCTAATTTTTAAATCATGTTAATGATTTAATTCAGGCACTAAGTGACTATGTGGTGTTAGACAATAAAATTTAATCAGGCACTAAGTGACTATGTGGTGTTAGACAATAAAAATAATTTTTTTAAATATGTATGGTTTAATAACTATTTTTATTAAAATGGCACATAAAGTTAAACTAAAAAGACATGCAAAAGTTATTATATGTAAATATATATTTTTTGTCCTCTAAGTGCTTATAAAAAAGAGCCAGGGGGATAGAGTTAAATTTTCCCCTGACCTTAGCAGTATAAAGGGTCCATAAAGGCTTGCGAACTTTTTACAGTTTACTTTTCTTTATTTCTTTAATTTAAACTTAGGTTTTGTTTCAGATTTTTATTTTATTTAAGTAAGTAATACTTTTTAATTATTGTTATTTTTATGTATTGTTAATATATATATATATATATATATATATATATATATATATATATATATATATATATATATATATATATATATATATATATATATATATATATATATATTTGAAGGTACATGCTTTATTCATAATTGAATTTATCATTTATTATTATAATTTAAGTGATTTAAAATTGGAGTGGTTACACATTAAGGGGGTTGAATCAAAAGTAAAACAAATATATATATATATATATATATATATATATATATATATATATATATATATATATATATATATAATATTTGAAAAATTTTAGGTGAAAAAGAGGCACTCTTATACAATGGAAAAATTGAGCTAACACCATGAATAGTTCTGCAAGCATTCGCTCAGCCATTGTTTCACAGCGTTTAACTGGAACGCTTTGGGAAGAATTTTGTGAAGAGGCTGCTAATTATGCAGCTGTAGAATTCGCAAGAAAATCAGTTTCTTTTGTTTCACTTAATCCCATATATAATAATGGTGCTTTTTTTAATAAAGCACCTCGGAAGTTTATTGATACTTTTTATGTAAAATTTGAAGAAGAGTTACAAAGAATCGCACAAGATAATGAAGAAAGATGCAATCAGCGAGAAATTGATGCTCTTAACAAAAATACTAAGCGATCACTTTCAATGAGAATGAAAAAGATTTTCAGAAAGAGTACACCCTTAGATAAAGACTTAACTAAAGAAACAGAAAATATGACATCTGATAAAATTCAAGATAAAAATTTTTCTAACACAAAATCTACAGACAAAAATTTTGTTGTAAATGATATAATTAAAGATGGTTATATGCATGAATTAGCAAATATTGAAGGTCGTGGAGACAATGGATTGACTTGGAAAAAATGTCGTCTTGTTTTGTCAAAAGCTCCTGGAGGGTATATGCTGGAAATTTTTGTTCCACCTAAGGTTAAAATAATTTTTCCACCTAAAATAATTGTTATAAGTATATTTTTATTTTTATTTTTCAGTAAATTGTAAATTTCTTTAGCACTTATGATATTGTACATTTGATAACAGTTATTACTATACTTCATAATGATATTGTTAAGAATATATGAATATAATCAACAATTCAACAGAATGGAAAAAAGTTGATTATGATACTGTAACAGAATTTATATTAATACTATAACATAATAAGATGTTTAACAAAAATGGTAGTGCACACTATCTACAGTTGCTTTAATATATTTAAAAGTATATATATATATATATATATATATATATATATATATATATATATATATATATATATATATATATATATATATATATATATATATATATATATATATATATATATATATATATATGCATTCAGTGGTGTACACTCGAATTTTGGTCGGTTGTCTGGTGTGCTGCTGAGATTAATAATTTAGCTAATCTTGATTGCCAATATTTTAAGTCGTTCGTTATCTTAAAAAAAAAAAGAAAAAAAAGAAAAAGTGTGTGCTTTCATTTGGAATAAAATTATATTTTCATATTTAAAAGATATAAAATTATGAAAAAATTTATTTTTATTAAAGATTCTTTTTTAACTTCATTCAAAGTTTTTTGTAATTAAACTTTGAATGACAATAATGGAAAGATAAAATAGTATTCAATCATAGTTTTGCTTTAAAATAAAAATGTATCATTATATTTAAATTATTTTTAAATATAATAATTTAAATAACAATGGAATGTTTACTATTATAGAGCTTATAACAAAACTTTATTTGTATATTAAAATTTTTATTATATTGTTTAAACAAAAGGCGTTTTATAAATAAAGGTTTTGATATAAGAAATTTTTATAATTTAATTTTGTAAAAATGTTTGCTAATCATTAGCAGTTATGACTTGAAAACTTTTAAAATGTTCTTATTTAAACAGAATGATGTAAGCTAAGTTCAAAACGTTCTAATTTAAATAGAATGAAAAGAAGGAAAATAAACTACAAAAATTAGACTTTTAAAATGTTGCTTTATTGTTACATTAGATTAAAAAGTAATTATCAAAAGCTATTTCATTGATAAAAAGTAATAGTCTTTCGAAAACAAAAGAACAAATTTACCTTTAGCAGCAAAAACGTTGCTAAATGTAGAAATGCAAACTGTGGCAAAAAAATCAATTTAAATAATAAGTAATTTAAATTTAAGCAATAAGTTAAAAAATTAACCAATTTAAATAGTCACCTGGCCAGTCGACTCAATTGCATTAAAACACTATTTCCAGTAGTCCTTCGAAAGATTTGGATGGCTTTTGCCATCGGGTAAACACAAGTGTACACCACTGATATATATATATATATATATATATATATATATATTTATATATATATATATATATATATATATATACATATATATATACATATATATATGTATATATATATATATATATATATATATATATATATATATATATATATATATATATCAAGCTTTTCCAGAAAGCGCATGTGGTCGCATGTTTGTTTCATCCACATTTAAAGTAATTTTTTTAAACATACTGACCACGGCAGTTCGCATCTTTTTACTTATAAAGCATTTCAATAATTTGCGGCAAAAAGCTAAACTACTGAGAAAAAAAAACAATCTTAAAAAAAATAAACATTGTAACGAAATATCAAGTTTTAATTAAATAAACTAGAAAATTAATTAAAAAAAAAAAAAAATTAAAAAAAATTATATTTTCTTTATAACATTTTTATACAACTTTTGTATTCTTTTTTTAGAGTCGTTGTTGCTTTTTAGAGTCGTTGTTGCTTTTTAGAGTCGTTGTTGCTTTTTAGAGTCGTTGTTGCTTTTAGCTACCAAATTTGATACAAGTTGATGAAAAAAATATTATCTTTGATAACAATTTCAAATTTTTGATATGGAATTTATTCACAATTTTTATCAGTCTGTATAATTTAGAAACTAATTTTCTATGTACCATTGAACTATGAGTAATTTTTCTTACACATTTATTCGTTTTGATGTCTTTATGCTTTTAAAAATGTTTTTGCTATATTGGATGTTTTTTCTCAATACTTATATAATAGGAAAATAAGAAAATAAGTTGCTATTTATTTGTAAAATATATTATTTGATTAATAAATTTTGTAATGACGGGATAAATTAAATAATAAAATAACATGGTTTCTTTTTTAAATTTATTTACCGCATTTGATGCATGTCTGAAATAGTTTCTTATATATTGCCCAATTTCCAGCATTAATACCACTTACTAAAATAATAAACATAACAATTACTCTGTTTGAAAAAATGTATTTAAAAACATAAAAAAAAAAAGTTTTAAAAAGCTTGTTATAGAAAATTTTTGTTAAAAAGTTCAGTAAATTAACAATGCACTAGCACAAGCTTTTGGAGCATTGTTAGTAACAATAGTTTATCAGGAAGTAAACTCTCGGGTTTAAATGCACAATTTGGATAATCCAACAAAAGTGCAAACTATTTTCATGGGGGTAGTGAAAACAACAAAATATTTTATATTTAAATATAATTATTAATGACTTTTTATTTTTTTACATGGAAACCTTATTTGAATAAAAAAAAAAAAATTTTTTTACAAATAAATAGCAATTAGTTTGCTCGCTTTCCAGTGCATTGATAAAAACAGTAAAGTTTAACATAAACATTCAAAAAACAAATTTAAAAGTTGTCTATGTTTCTACCGCAAATAATAAAGTATTTTCTTAATATACAGATTGAAAAAGTGGCGAAAAAATTGTATATAAAAAATGTTTTTATTTTCATTATATTCCTATCAGCTTTTTTTCTTCGGCTTGTATCAATTTCGGTATTGGAAAATAACAAACGCCTTAAAATTAGAAAAACAAAAACAGTAAAATATTTAGGTATATTATTTTTTTGACAACTTTTTTTATTTTTGATATTCAATTATTTTAACTTATTTTATTTAGATTTTCTATTTCATATAGTCTTTGTTTCCTTTTTTTGAGTATCTTTTATTGATGTTTTATTCTCTCTAGTTTTATATATATATATATATATATATATATATGTATATATATATATATATATATATATATATATATATATATATATATATATATATATATATATATATATATATATATATATATATATATATATATATATATATATATATGTATATATATATTAATGGCATTATGCATGGAATTGTTAACAGGGAATTCTACAGATTCTACAGGGAAGCATTATAAAAGTTTAATTGACACTTAATGTCACATAACTAGTAGACTCATAACAATTTATCGTACACTTACCATATTTGGGCACAATAATATTTGAAAAAATACAACAACTTTTGTGTAGTTAACTCAGTTTGACCAAATGTTGTACTTAACACTTCTGTGCATAATGCCATCAATATATAAACAATATCAGCCCTTAGAATTAGGGTCAGCATTTACCAATGCCGACCTAACTGTTGACCTAAAAGTGTTTGATGTTGGCCAAAAATTGCTGGCCTCATTTCTATGTTTTATGGTAACTCTTTTGTGTATATATGCAAATATATATATGAAAATATATATGCATATATATATATATATATATATATATATATATATATATATATATATATATATATATATATATATACATATATATATATATATATATATATATATATATATATATATATATATATATATATATACATATATATATATATATATATATATATATATATATATATATATATATATATATATATATATATATATATATATATATATATATATATATATATATACAAATATATATGTATATATATAAATATATATATATAAATATTTTAATAAACAAGACAAACTTTTTAATTTATAAAACCATTTTATTAATTCTAAACAATACATGTTTCGACTATCACTAGTCATCTTCAGTTGAAGTTAATTTTTTAAATTTGTTTAAATACCTATATAGTATAAATACCTATATAGTGATTTTTACAATACCAATACAAAATCTAATTATCTGTGTACAGATAATTACATTTTGTATTGGTATTAATTTAATTACAAAAATACAAGAAAATCTATTATAAGAATAACAAGTCATACTAAAAAACAAATAGGAAGTAACAAAAGAATAGATAATCAGATGATAAAAATAAGATAGTAAAAAATTACACAGAAAATAATAACTAAACAGAAAGTGTCATTTGGACATTCGCTTCAAGAAATCATTGGTATTGCAGTTAATTCGATTATGCTTAATAATAAAAATATTAATAATAAAAATTGCTAAAAACGGTTTTTAAAAACTATTTAATTTTGCTACCAGGTAAATACATTTTCTTTTTAAAGGACATGCTTATGATCAAATAGATGGTGTAGCCATGGGCTCTCCATCAAATCAGCAAATATGTCATCATATATATATATATATATATATATATATATATATATATATATATATATATATATATATATATATATATATATATATATAATATATATATATATTAGGGGTATGACTAAAATTTTTTTTTTAAATTTTCAATTCCCCATGTCTCCACAAGTTGAGAAAATATATTTATAAACAGAAAATATAAGTTTTTAAAGTTAATTTTTGAAAAAGATCACCCCCAGTTATAAAAAGTGTAATAGACATACATAAATGGCTAAAAATGGTCTTGAAAAAGCTAAGACTTAAAGATGTGTTGTTAAAAGTATTGATAAAATGAATAAAATGCCAACAGAACAGCATATTATTGATCAATTTAAAAATTTGTCATCAAATGTGGGAAAAGCAAAAAGGAGAGAGTTGCAATTTTGGCTAAAGAAACTGAACTACTATTGAGAAAGCTGAATATTCCAATTTTACAGGAGAAATCAGCATCTGAAAGAAAAATAAAAAATGTATTGAAAAATTTTTACCCATCCGGTGGACACGGAAAAATCCGGTCAACTTTAAATTGAGATTTCTCCAAAACCACAAATGCTATTTATTAAATTTTTTTTTAATTAAACCTTACCACCTTAACTTAAATGGTGTTGATTATTTTTTGTTTACAAATTAATGATTTGCAAAATGTTTTGGAAACAAATTGAGGTGCGTAAAAAGGTTGTAAATTTTTTATGCAAAAATCCATTATCTTCCTATTGCTTGATTGCTAAGCGCACAAATATCCCAAAATCTGCAGTCATAGATATTATAATCAAGTTCAAGACTATTCAAAGCTTCGAAAGAAAACTTGGAAGTGGAAGAAAAAAAATTTTCTATAAATCCGAAAAGGTAAAGTCGATTTTACGTTCAATAGCAAAAAATCCAAACCAATCACAGCGAGATCTAGCAAGAAAATTTAAAACTTCTCCTTCTTAAAAAATATCAAAAAAGTACTTAAAAATGCTGGAATTAAAGCATTTCATAAAAAAAATACACCCAAGAGAAGCTTAAATTGTAAAATTACAGGAATTCGACGCGCAAAGATGTTGGTTAAAATAATGGCGGATAAAAATATGTGCATAATTGAAGACGGCAAAACATATTGCAAGGCGGATTTTTTCACAATGTCCTGGTCAACAGTTTTACTATGAAAACAAAGATAAACCTGTTGATGATCAATTTAAATATATTCAATGAGAAAAATTTGCATCCAAGTTTCTTGTGTGAAATTTGTAACTGTGATATGCAGTCCTCTTGTTTTGTCACTAAAAAGACCATGACTGCCAATCTCTACATCAAAGAATGCCTCCAAAAAAGACTTTTGCCTTTTATAAAAAAACACAAGTACCGATGTCTCTTTTGGCCCGATCTTGCTGCCTCTCACTAAAAAAGTTCTACAGTGGTGCAAAGATAATAATGTGAAAATTGTTCCTAAAGATGCGAATCCTCCAAAACGTCCTGAAGAGCGCAAGATTGAAGATTTTTGGGCTATAGTTAAAGGAGTTCTTCGTAAGACAGGTGGAGTAACAAATAATAAAAAGGACTTCCAAAAAAAGTGGATTAATGCCACCAATATGGTGAAAAAAGAAAAAATCTGTGAAATGGTGGCATCAACCAGCTATAAAGTTCGATTTCTTGCCAAACAACCCATCAAGCCCCTTAAAATTTTATTATTAAATGTGTTTACATAAATTAAAGTTGAAACTCTAATTTATGTAAACACATTTAATAATAAAAAAATTGAAATAAAAAGCATTTATGGTTTTAGAGAAATCTCAATTTAAAGTTGACCGGATTTTTCTGTGTCCACCCGACAATTGTTTAACATAACTGATAAGAAAGCTGAATGGTTGTGTCATGAAGGTAAAGAATTTTATGGTCTGCAAATGTCAACAAATGGAAGAGTTAGATATTGTACCACAATTGAAAATACTGAAGGTATTCATCCAAGAAAACTAGTGTTAATAAAGAAACAATTGTCAATCAGCTAAGACCATGATTTCAATGAAACGGCTAGTGAAGGAGATCATTCGAAAACTGAAGAGCAGTGTTCCAGCAATGATGCTGGAGATGTCGAAAGTTTGTCATCATCATCTAAAAGAAAAAAAACAAATTTGGCTGTAAGTAAAGTGATTTCTGCAAAGATTGGTACCAGAAAAGTACATAAAGTCTGCAATACTCAATCAAAAGGTAAAATTTCAATTCCTTCTCCAACTCAAAGTGGTGTGATGAAAGGAGACAAGTTGAAAGCAAATTACATGGAGAACTTAAAAAATAATAATTGGCCTTTACACTTTGATGGAAAGCACCTAAAAAAAGGAATATCAAGTAGTTGTTTTGAAAAATGAAAAGAGGTTCGACTTGCTGCTCTTGAGCTAATGAATGGAAAAGGTGAAACAATATTTAATGAAATAAAGCGTGTGTTGGATAAATATAAGCTGTGGCTAGCTATAAAAATTATAAAATCTGACACAACATCTGCAAATATAGAAATAAGAATTGGTGTGGTAACACTGTTACAGAAACATTTCAAAACCATTGGACTAGAAAAGCCTACTTTTATAGAAGGCCAACACCAAATTTTTCATAAATGATCTTTTTGAAAGATCAAAAACATCACTAAGTCTTCATTACCCTTTTGTGACAAGATTACTGTAAGAGTACAAGAACCTGAAGTTATTATTTCAGAATACTGGAAATATTTTAACGAAAGTGAACTGGACATGCTGGCGAGATGACATGGACTTCATGCATCACTTAATAGCTTGTTATAGAAAGTTTAAAAGCATAAAAACTCAACTAAATTGAGTATGGGGATATATATATATATATATATATATATATATATATATATATATATATATATATATATATATATATATATATATATATATATGTATATATATATATATATATGTATATATATATATATATATATATGTATATATATATATATATATATATATAATGTATATATATATATATATATATATATATATATATATATATATACATATATATATATATATATATATATATATATATATGTGTGTGTGTGTGTGTGTGTGTGTGTGTGTGTGTGTGTGTGTGTGTGTGTGTGTCAATCTCCCTCAAAGTATTTTTAACATAATATTATTGAAAAAAACATGATCTCTAATTATGTAACAAACTTTAATTTTAATGACTTGAAAAAATCTGTGTATGAGAGTTAACTTTATTAATTAACATAAGCAGTTTAGCATGATTTAAAAAGTTAATGAGATAAAAAACCATTTTACTTTTCTGTTTTTTAAAATCAGATATAAAATTATTATTTAAAATTTTTGTAAGTAATATATATATATATATATATATATATATATATATATATATATATATATATATATATATATATATATATATACATATACATATATACATATATATACATATATATACATATATATATATATATATATATATATATACATATATATACATATATATATATATATATATATATATATATATATATATATATATATATATATATATATATATATATATATATATATATATATATATGTATATATATATATATATATATATATATATATATATGTAAAATATGGAGTCAAGACATGTTGGCTCTCAGGTACAGAATTGTATATATTATGTTCAGGGTGTTAATCAGGAATAAATTTAATACAGCGTTTTAACGAAATTGGGAATTTGTCGAAGTATTTCTTAATCACCCCCCTCCTCCCCTGAGACTAAAATATGTTATGGGAAAGCATGGGGTCCTTTTTTGGTGTTCTTTTTTTTTCTACTCTACTTCAGCGCTGCATACATTTATTGATCAGCACCAAAAATAAAATAAAATACCATCTATATCATTAAAGATGAATATGAAATCAACACAAAATTAGCTGTTGTTTCACGACACGGCAATCTAAGAACTGATTTCCGAACATATATATATATATAGTTTATAATAAAAAAAGATATCATTCAAATATCAAAGATATCATTATAAACAATCAGTGTATTATAATTATTATTGAGAGTAATTAATTTGACTTATTTTTTATCTTTTTATATTGTCATCTTTTTATATTCATTTCAAGAGTATTATTTTAAATATATATTTCAATTTCATTGTAATATAGTAAAATAGCAATCTCCAATGTGCCAATGAGCTTCTTCTTCTAATTATTATTTAAATTCTGCTCGATGTATCTTACGAGTGAATCCAATCTATTATATGACGAATCATCGTCATATAATAGATTGTGTCATCAAAAGAAATTTTTTGAAAATAGATAAGGCTTTAAAAATAGTAAACACGAGCTCTAAATTTCATATTTCACATTTATTGCAAGTTCAATTTTATAATTAATAATAATTTGTTTTATACATAAATCACAAAGCAAAATAAAGTTATAATCACAAAGTCTCAGCAAATACAGCAACAAATATTGTTTAATTATAGAGTAATATTATTAGCTAGCGATTGCATGCGTGGCATCGAAGAATACCAGTAAAAAAATTAAAAAACTTTAGCAAATTCAGTTGATATAAAATACCAAACAAATAAAAGAAAAACAAAAACTAAAAGCCTTTTTGTAATAACCGTAATTGATCAAAAGGTATCTGACATAACCTTCTTGATGTTTTTGTTGACTAACTATATGAACTACTTAAAGTTGAGTTTACCTTAAGACTTGATAAGTTATTTAACTTTTTAGCCAAAAAAGACGAAATTTTTAAAGATATAGGGTTTGCCGGTGTTAAACCAAACAAGTTTGTTCTTATTTTGGATCTTTTATATTAGTACTTTATTTCTTGCTAACTTTTTTATATAATATTTGCTGTTGTTGGAATGCATTACAAAAAACTATTTTCAAACTTTATTGCAAGTAGCCACAAAAATCCCAAAAATCGCTCCAAAAATCCCAATTCTCATGATGTTTTTTTCAAGAAACCAATTTTCGCAGTTATGCAATTGCGTTTTTATACCAATAATGGCGATTTGATTTCATGTTTTACGCAGCTAATGAATAAGAATTTTTTTATGTTATTTTTCCATTAGTTTTGAACAATAATTAATTTTAAATTATTTTTAGAATTATTATTAAACTTTAATTTAGAAACTCTTTTTGGAGAATGGGATTTTTTCATCTTTAAATTAAGAATTTTAATTAAATGAGCATTTGGGAAAACCGCGTTTGACGGGGCGCCACAGGGCTAGTTTATACCCTGATGTTATATATTTAAATGTATATATATATTATATATATATATATATATATATATATATATATATATATATATATATATATATATATATATATATATATATATATATATATATATATATATATATATATATATATATGTAAAATATGGAGTTAAGACAAGTTGGCTTTCAGGTACAGGTACAAGTATGCCTATAACTTTGTTTTAGTTTTGCATTATTTTTTATTTTTTAATTTTGATTTATTTATTTTTTTAGGCTTCCAAACCACGTGCAGGAGTATTTTGTTTTCTAATACATGAAGCTCGAAAAGCATCATTATTAGAGATGCCTGATTCAGATTGTGTATTTATTATTAAA